TAGACAAGCGGGACCTCATTAAACCGACAAGCTTCGGCAAAGTCTAAGAAACCATCAAGAGAGCAGGGAGACAGCCCACAGACTGGAAAAACGTATTTGCCACCTCCATGTCTGACAAAGTCCTAATAACAAGGATCTACAAAGAACTTAAACGTGCTGAAAAGAAAAAAACAAACAACTCCATTACAAAGTGGGCAAAAGATATGAACAGACACTTCTCAAAAGAAGACATAGGAGCGGCCAACAGATACATGAAGAAATGTTCAACCTCACTAGTCCTCAAGGAGATGCAAATTAAAACTACACTGAGATACCACCTAACTCCAGAATGGCCATCATCAATAATTCAAAAAATAACAGATGCTGGAGAGGATGTGGTGAAAAGGGAATATTTCTACATTTTTGGTGGGAGTGTAAACTAGTACAGCCTCTGTGGAAATCAGTGTGGCAGTTCCTAAAAGCTCTAAAAATTGACCTTCCATATGACCCTGCAATCCCCCTACTAGGAATATACCCGGAAGAACTCAGGTCACTCTATAAAAAAGATACCTGCACATGTATGTTTATCGCAGCATTGTTCACAATAGCAAGATCAAGGAACCAACCCTGCTGTCCATCAAAAGATGACTGGATTAAAAAATGTGGTACATATACACAATGGAATATTATGCAGCCATAAAAAAGAACAAAATCATGAATTTCGCAGCAACCTTGATGGAATTAGAGTTTATAATATTTGGTGATCTCTCACAGAAACAAAGATCTGAGTATCACATGTTCTCACTCATAAGTGGACCTTGAATAATTACCATAATACTATAAGAAAAGGATTGACAGTGGTGGAAAACTACGGGGGGGGGCAGGGAGGGGAAGGGAGGTGTGATTAATGATAGTCAATATCTGTCTGGGGAAAGGGGGGCACCTCTTCAACAAGAGTACCTGCACAATGAATATTTGTATACCTAACCCTTAACTGAATTCCACAATTTTAAAATAAAAAAAAATATATTGAAAAAAAGTCAAGAAAACAGGAAAGGGAGATGAGATGAAGAAAAACTAAAAGACAGGAAGAAATAATAATGAAATGGTAGACCTAAATCCAATCATGCCAGTAGGAATTGTACATGGTCTATACATACTGATTAAAAGAAACTGTTATATAAGATAAAATGCAAGAATCAGATATGTCTATAAGAAAATCACTTTAATTATAATGACATAAATAGTAATCAAGGGAGTTTGTGTTAGTGAAAATCAATGGAACAACACACAGAAATAGTCTACACATATGTGGCGTGTTGACTTTTGACAAAGGAGAAAAGGCAAGTCAATGGTGTTAGAACAGGTGGGCATTCATAAGCAAAAATACACCTTGACCCACAAATTCATACTCTATAAATATTAACTCCATATAGGTTACAAACCTAAATGTAAAGCTTAAAGTTATAAAACATCTAGAATAAAAATAAGAACATTAACCTTGAGTTAAAAAAACTTCTTAAATATCACACCAAAAACTACAATTCATAAAAGGGAAAGAATATAATTTGGTCTTCCCCCAAATTAATTTCTACTCTGCAAAAGACAATTAAGAAAATGAAAAAACAAGTCACAGGTTGGGAGAGAATATTTGCAACCCACATATACGTGTATGCAGAATTTTTAAAAACTCTCAAACCTCCATATAAGCAAACAGACAACCCAATTAAAAAAAATAGGCAAAAGATTTGGAAGACACTTCATTAGAGAAGAATATGAACGTCCAAAAGAAACCATGGAAAAATGTCCCACATTATTATATATATTAGCAAAATGTAAATATAAACAATGGTATACTACACACAAACAAACCAAAACTGATCATACCAACTCAACTAGCAACAACTCAGATCAGCTAGAGACCCACACTGCTAATGAGAATATAACATAGTACAGCCATTGTGGAAAACAGTTTGACAATTTCTTGAGTTAAATATAACACCTTATGACCCAGCAATTCCACCCCTAGGTAATTACCAGAGATAAATGAAAACTTATGTTCACATCAAAACCTGCATGAAAATGTCTATAGCAACTGTGTTCATAATCACCAAAACTGAGAATAACCCAAATGTCCATCAATGAATGAATGAATAACTGTAATATATCCACACAATGAATACAGGCAATAAAAAGGAATGAACTACTGATACTTATTACAATACCCATGAATCTCAAATGCATTGTGCTAAATGAAAGAAGCCATATTCAAAAGGCTACAACTGTGATCTACTACAAAGGGACAGCAAAAGGAATGTCCAGAATAGGTAAATTTATAGAGAAAGAAAACAGATTAGTAATTGCCTAGGCCTGGGGAGGATGGGGGAAATGGGGAGTGCCTGCTAATTGCTATGGGTTTCTTTTTGGGCTAATTAACGGTTCTAAAATGGACTGTGGTGGCTGCACAATCAAGAACAGACTTCCTTAACTGTACATTGTAAATGGATGATTGTATGGTATGTAACATATCTCAATAAGGTTGATTTTAGAAATCAACTAAAATTTAGTAAACATGAGTTGTTTTTAAAACCCACAATACCACAATTTAATGCCACTTCTCATCTTCATGCAGCTCTCGGAGCTCACGCTCCCAGGGGGAACGCACCCCTCGCACCTCCTCGTAGTGCCGTGGATGGACTGCTCCCAGCTCTTCCTTGTACTGGGACTTCTGCAACAGCTCCATGGCTAGCTCACCCGGGATAGCCTTGCGTTTCTCAGCACTCTTCCGGGCCTCCTACGATTCCCGGGCCAATTCCTCTTTCTCCAGCCCTCTTTCTTGAAGTTGTTCCAGCAGCCGACTACTGCCCCCGTAATGACTTCTGGAGCTGGTGGTTGAGGTCATCTTTCTGTCCCATGACGTCTTCATTCTCGGTCAGCCGCTGCTGCAACTCAGCTGCCAGCCCGGCAGTCTGTTCTTGGAGCATATTCGGTTCTTGGGTCTTTGCCGTTTGGCTCTGCTCCAAGGAAGCCAGGCTAGTCCTCAAGGTGCTGTCCTCAGTCCAAAGCCCTTCTACATGGTTCTTGCACACCTGTATTCTGGATAGACACCTGATCTTGCAAGGCCCCGCAGAGCTGCTGCGGGCTCCAGGCGCTCTCCCTGTCGCTGACCTCTCAGCTCTGCCAAGCGCTGCTTGGCAGCCCCAAGTTCCTGCTGCAGCTTCTGGGTTCCAACCAACTGGGCTTTGAGATCAACGTCCCTCCACTGCTGCAACTCCTCAATCTTGTTCCTGCTGTCATTCAATAGCGTCTCCTTTTCTGTCTGCAGATGGCAAAAACTTGTTTCTTGCTCAATTTCTCGGAGAGTTTAGTAAGTTCCTCCTGCAGCCTGGATGTTCCATCCTGCTTTGAGTTCTCCAAGCCTTGCAGCTGCTCCCAGAGCAATTTCTTTTATTCTTTCTCCGTTTCCCATTTCAGCTCCACTTCTGCCACTGGCATGGGGGCCACGACAGTGGGAGCCAGGCTCCCTGGGGGGATCCCCTTGGTCCTTACTGACAGCTGGAGACGGCCCAGCCTCTTTCCTATAGCATCCCTGCAGGGCTGCCACGTTCTTCTGCAACGCTGTTTTCAGCCTGTAGTCTCAGCAGCTCCCCGTCCACATGGGGTCCAGCTTGGGCAACCCCTGCTCCAGCAGCCCCCTCCTTCAGTGGCTGGTTCTTTCGCTCCAGCTGTTTCATCTGGCCGCAGAGCTTGCTGAAGTCCCCCTCCTGGCTGTGCAGCTTTGCCTGCTACGTCTCGTTTTCACTCGGCAGTACCTGGACTTCCTGAGCTTTCTTGCTCTCTTGCTCAATGCCTTTTGAGTTTTGCTGAACTCGTTATCCAGGTAGGCCACCTTCTGTGGAAGACTGGCGAGTTCACCCCGTTCTTGCATGTTTCTTCTGAAAGCTGGTAGTTGTTTGTCCGAAGTTCCAGGAGCTGAGCCTGCATGCACTGAAACCCCTCCTCAGAGAGAGCTTGTGCCAT